CACCCCCACCCCCGTGCGCAGGCCAGTCTGGTCCTCCGGCCTCTCCCTTCCAACGACTCAGAATTTGGATCTGGCTCCAACCTCTGAGACCAAGCGCCCAGTGGTTGTGAGGTGGTGGCTCTTACTGACAGCAATCCCAGTAAGACAGTAATTTGATGAAAACATGTCCCTGCCTAAATGCATGGATGTAATCTCCCAGGAAATGGAGGAATTTAGCATCAGGCTGCAGATTTCCAGTTCATGGAGTGATGCTGTCAGTCTCCTACAGTCTGCTTTTTTTGCCTGGCAGGTACCAACGGAAGACCGTTTGTTGGTAAGTGAGTTGAGATGAACAAACTTTTAGTTGTCTAGTTTTTTTCTAGTTCGCCTTTAAGACTGACCTGTTTCCTTCTAAAACAACAGAGCTTTTGAACCATAGTTGTTTTCATGACGCAAATAAAGCAGAGCCACTTTAAAGTTTTCTAATTTACTGAATAAAGGATACAGTCACATGACAAAAACCCTAGCAGGTACAACAGGCTACGCCTCTTCTCTCGGCCAGCACCCATCACAGCTAGGTAGTCAGTGTCACCATCTCCTCTTGGGCGTCCGTCTGTGGGAGAACATCTGTGAGCACTTGGGGGACTCCTGGACATAACAGCTGTCTTGGAGGCCGGGTCTGTTTGTAGCACTCGTGTTTTGGGGAATACAATTTGATGTATGGTACTTAGAAGTCTTGTAAAAAGCAGCCATGGATTGACGGGGTCCTACTACAATAAGACCTATTACGATGGTCCTTAATCAATAAGAGACAAAAATAATGTTTGGCCCACAGAGTTTACATCAACTAACCCTTGTTTTCTAATAGACCTCCCCCAAATTAATAAGGAACACTAGAGTCTGTTTATAGCAAATATCCTTTACATCCCCTCCCCGTATGAATTCCTTGGAAAGTCTTTAAAAAAAAAAAAAGGAGTTAAAATGGCGAGACGATACCTTGAATGTCTTGGCCTCTGCTGCCTCAATTTCTTGTGTTTTGTGTTGTGTGTGTATTTGTTTCAAGGCGTCCAAGCTGGTGTTTACCTTAACGGCTGACACACTCTGCTGGAATAAGCATGTCCACAGTCTATGCAAGGCTTTGGGACGGAGGAGGAAGATAATATATCATAAATCGAAATTCTCTTTATAAAACGATGTGGATGGATTTCTAGGGTGGCTTTAATTCTGAAAAGCCCTGAGCTGAGAAATCCGGCCTTTCTGCTAGCAGAGCTACAGAGGCTGGTGGATTTGCATTTAGAATTCTGCAGGGGAAGGCTGACTTAAATATTTATTTTTTGTGCTGTTAGTCAACCCCGTCGTGGTGAAATTCATTACGGATACTAAAATTACTTTCTTGCCCTATGAAAAATTCAGGCTGACACGTAACAAAGCAGAAAGAAGCTTGGCCCCTTCTGTTAAATCAAGAGGAAAAGAACCCAACCAGAAGAACAGATGAGGGATTTTCCATAGATTTTATTTTGTAAAAATATCATCTGTGACTCTATTTGAGAATTTGGCTATAATTTAAGTAAAGATGGTATCAAATTTCTGAATGCTACACTAGAACTGAAAGATGTGGTTTTTGTTAAGAGAGAAACAAATGTGAAAATAACACCCAATAGTCCTGCTGCCCTTGAAAAAATATCCTTCATGAAAGTCACAATTGAAACTGCTCCTACCTAGAACAACGAATTCTGGTGACTATGACCCTAGAACACCAAGGCAGCTTATTTGCTGTAACAGTCCCACGACACAGAATTGTTTCTCTCTAAAGTCCTTTGTTTTTAGA